CCCAGTCCCAGTGCGGGGCGATCGCAGCGCCTGCAGCAGGACGCCGTGGAGCCGACAGCCACGTGGTGGCCTTCATAGAGACCTTGCGGGCAGGGCTTATGGCTAAAGGTAAAGCCAGCGGGAATGGGGGGAAGGGCAGCAGCAGCCCCTGGCATGTCCGTAGCAAGCCGGGGTGCACAGGCAGGCAGCGTGCTCCTTATCCCGCGGGCAGAGGCCCTAGAGTTAGTGGGAGCAGCCTGTTCCTGGGGTCCTGCCACCCCACCAGGCTAGTCCTGCCTGGGACTAGCTGGTCCTTATCTGGCCCCATCCCCATTCAATGTATTTACCCTCTGTGACAATGCGGTTCTGGCGGAACCCAACTGAGAGTGCCAACTCAGGACAAATTGCTCAAACAGGGCAGTTACAGCCCAAGGCTGGGGTTTTTTCCACGTCTAAGGCAAACCAAACCAGCCAGACTAAGAGGACTTCGGTCTCATCCCACTGGCTAACCGCAAGTCTCACAAGCACTCTCCTTAGGCACTCCAGTTTCCCAGTATTACTACCAGTGCCACTCGTTATGGGGACAAATGGTTATGAAAACCAATACCCAAGTAAAAGAAAAAGGTTCTCCTGATCCCAAAGGATCAAGCCCCAGACCCAGGTCAATATACAAATCAGATCTTACCCACAAATCACGCTGTTGCCAATCCTTTAGAATCTAAAATCTAAAGGTTTATTCATAAAAGGAAAAAGATAGAGATGAGAGTTAGAATTGATTAAATGGAATCAATTACATACAGTAATGGCAAAATTCTTGGTTCAGGCTTGCAGCAGCGATAGAATAAACTGCAGGTTCAAATCAAGTCTCTGGAATACATCCCCCACTGGGATGGGTCCTCAGTCCTTTGTTCAAAGCTTCAGCTTGTAGCAAAGTCCTTCCAGAGGTATGAAGCAGGATTGAAGACAAAATGGAGATGAGGCATCAACCTTATATAGTCTTTTCCAGGTGTAAGAACACCTCTTTGTTCTTACTGTGGAAAATTACAGCAAAATGGAGCCTGGAGTCACATGGGCCAGTCCCTGCATACTTTGCTGAGTCTGAAGGCATATTGGCCTTCTCTCAATGGGTCCATTGTATAGCTGATGGTCCTTAATGGGCCATCAAGCAGGCTAGGCAGAGCTAATCCCAGCTTGTCTGGGATGTCACCCAGAAGCATAGCATAAGTTTGCCATACAGACAGTATGGAGCCAATATTCATAACTTCAACTACAAAATTTATACACACATATAGACAGCATAATCATAACCAGTAAACCATAACCTTGTCTTAGACACCCCATTTGACCCCCTTTATACAAGATTTGGGTGACACTACAGGATCTTGGGTGCAACAATGATCTATATGGTCCCAGTTTATGTCAATAACATCACACCCTCCCAGCCTGGGGCAGGGCCAGGGCCAGCTCCAGCTTTTTTGCCGCCCCAAGTGGCAAAGAAAAAAAAGAAAAACCTGATTGAGCTGCCACCAAAGTGCCGCCAAAGAGGAAGAGACGGAGTGAAGAACCTGCTGCCGAATTGCCGCCGAAGACCCAGATGTACCGCCCCAATACCAGACGGAGTGCCGCCCCTTTCTCTGGGCCGCCCCAGGCACCTGCTTCCTTCGCTGGTGTCTGGAGCCGGCCCTGGGCAGGGCCCTGGCCAGCTATAGGCTACCTAGACAGTGTAGCGGGCGAGCTATTGGTAAATCCATTGGTGGTAATGGGGGGAGCAGAGTCATGGTTACTGCAGGGCAACAGGAATCAGAACTCCTGGGTTCCAGCCCTGGCTGGGCCATGTGCTGCCTGTAGACCCCAGCCAAGTCACTGCCCCACTCTGTGGCCCAGGAGTGGCGAGGCTGAGCTGGTGCATATACAGGACGCACTTTGGGTGCTCCCGTCGCCTGTAGCTCGCTGCCTCTGCCTCTGGTGGCCGGACTATTTGGGTCAGCTGGGCCTTGGTGCTGCTGGCCCTGCCCTTCAGCTCAGGCAGCAGGGGCTGTGGTTTTGGATCCAGCGGGTCTGGGCTCAGTCCCTGCTGCTGACACATGTGCTGGTGCCCTCGGCTGGAAGGTGCAATGATCGTTCTTGAGCAGCTGACCCGTTACTGCTTGGATTGCAGAGCTCCATGTGCTGGCTCGGCTCCTGGACAGCCCGTGTGGCGGGCTGACGACAGAGCTCCCAGCGGCCCCTGAGGAAGCAGCAGGAGCTGAAATCCACACGCTGCTTGGGAACGCTACCCTAGGTATGGGACTCGCCGGGCCTGAGACGCCCAGCCCGGCATGGCAAGGCTGCCCCAGGGCTCTACAGCGCTGGGTGCGGTCTCCAGAGCAACTGACTGTGAAGCTGAGCCACTTTTGTTCCTTTCCTGGGTCACGTTGCTGCCCTGATTGCTCCCAGCTCTCCCAAGCAGCCCTCTGGGTTTGAAATAGCTGGCACCCTCCTGGCATTGCTCCCTGCAGCCCCCTGGTGCTCCTGCCCAGGCCTGTGGGAGGGGCCCATTTGTACAGCAGCTGGGCAGTTGTGCCAGGTCCAGGTTGTGAAAGCAGCGAATACACGGCCAGTGATCCAGAGACGCCCTACGATATTGTGGGGTATCTCGGTCCTATGACTCCCGGAAAGTGGGACGTCCGGCTGGTGTTCCAGCTTTACTGCCCGCATTGGCACCCCAGCCAGTGCCCGTGGAACCTCCAGCCACTGCAGACCTGAGCTGTCCCCTTCACGAGCTGCTGGGCTGACATCAGCTCCCAGCGTGGGTGCTTGGGTGTCTGGTCCCTGCTGGGTGCAATGATCATCTGATCAGTAAAGCCCCGACTGGTGTGAGATCCCTCCTGCCTGGTGCCCTGCCCTGGTGCTCCTGCTGCCTGCATTTGGATGCTGCACATTCAGCCCTGGGCTCTCTCATGCAAGCATCTTGCTTTAGGATTCACTCCCCTGGGTGACCTGCCCGACCTTAACTCTACTGCCTGCCAAGGCATGGCACAGCAGCTAGACACTGGGGACTTAGTGTTGTTAATGATCCTGGTATGGTGATACCTAGGGCCCCATTGCGCTGGGGCTATAGAAACACAGCCGACTCCGTACAGCACCTAGCACAATGTGCTTTGTACTGTGTTATTGCCATGGCGACCAGTGCTAGCACAGTACGCCAGCATCAGAAGGGTTTTTCTGTCGGGGGTGCTGGGGACGGAGGGAGAGCAACAAACAACAAGATCAGCTTCCATGGCTTTCAGTTTTTTACAGCTTGCTTGAAGGTATAAGCGGTAATGACAAGATGCTGCTCCAGCCGCAGGACGTGACGTCAGATCAAGGGGGAGCTGCGGTGCCAGCCCTGGGAAAAGGTGTTGCCCTGGGTGGAGCAGGGTAAGTGGTTGGGGGGCATCGTCCCAGTTCCTGAGCTCCCTGCTGCCAGGCACACAATTCAGCTCCCCAGTGCTCCGTGGGACCAGGTGCCTCGCTGCTTACCCAGATCTTTCTCCCCTTCGTTTCAGCCCGTTGGCTCTGGACCAGCGCCCTGTAGGAGGAGGGCACAGCTCCCATGCTGTCCCGGTAAGGGAGCTTAGGAGGCCGGGGTGGGCAGTACAGGCCCTGTACTGGCTGAGCTGTCCTTGGCACGAGTCAATGCAGGGAGCCGAGATGGCGTGGCACCTCCCAAGCTGCAGTGAGCAGTGCGGGTATGGACAGCCAGCATCCACCCCCAGGTCTCTGAGTGCCCAGCCACAGAGGCAGCCAGACAGCTAGCGATGGCTGGCACCCTGATCTCACACCCAGTGCCTGTTGGTCACTCACTGGCCAGCTCTTGTGCTCAGGATGGGCACTCCAGTGCATGTCCTGGGGCATGGCTCAGCACTGGTGGAGGGAAAAGCGCCCCCGTGTGGTGATTCACCATTGGCTGCAGTGGAGCTCTGCACACCCTGCTGGGGGAACTAGGCCCGGGGGTTGCTACTGCTAACCATCTCCTGCCGTTCTTGTCCAGCTAACCCAAGGCCGGCTGATGAGCGCAGGAGGGGGGCTGAGTCCCAGGTCCGAGCCTGGTAGCGCCGGGGCCAAGAGGAGAGCCCCCAGGGTCCTGTTTACTCAGCAGGACGAGCAGCACAACAGACAGGTGCTGAACCAAGGTGTATGCAGAGGCCTGGTGCCGTGGGGCCTGTACCAGGTAGGTGAGCCTGCTCTGAGACACCAGCCGAGCCTGGAGGAACGGCTGGAATCACCTGCTGGCAATGGAAGCTACCAGTGGGCACCTCCCCTGGTGTCCCTCTGCTTCCTGCACTGGCACTGAGCTGCTCTCGCTCACAGCCTCTAGCCATTGGCAATGGGAGGGGCATTTTCCCTTCATCTGGGAGATGGGGTGGGCAGAGACGCCCACCATTTAAATGGTGGGGAAGAGGAATGTCAAACTGCTCACACTCAGATCTGAGCGTGATAATGTCTCCGGGCAGCTCCCCCCCAGCTCCCTGCCTTGGGTCAATGGCCTTGCACCAAACAGCAGATGAGTGAGTGGGGCCCATCAGCTCAGAGAGGCCAGTCTAGAATGTGTCTCACCCTTTCTTCGGAGCATCTCCAAATACCTTCCAAATCCTCACACCTCCAGGGAGACAGATGAGTCCCAGGATTCACATTTTACAGATGGGGAAACTGAGGTACAGCGAGGCCACCCCAGGAGTCCATGGCGGTTTCCACTCCCTGCCCTGTGCTCTGACCACTAGAACCATGCTGCCTTCAAGCGGGAAATGAACTAAGAGAGCCCTGCGCCTCACCCGGATCTGGGGAAGGCCAAGCTACAGTTAGCCCATGCGGGCTCTGCCATTATTCCTGGGTGGGCTGCCTAGACCAGCATCTGAGCTGACTACTGGGGTCTACTGCAGACAATATGGAGGGTGTAATGGCGTCCCAGGAAGCCCCAGTGTAGAAAGAACAGGACCATGCCTGGCTGCAGTGGTGCTCTGCTCAGGGGTCATCTTTCCCGGTAGGACGCCAGCCTGCTGATGGGGGGCTTCCGATGGCTTCGCCGCCAGAGGTTCGAGGGCCTGGTGAGAGGTTACCTGGCCCATGGCTGCATGAAGGAGGCAGAAGAAACCTTGGAGCAACTTCAGGGCAGTTGTGGCTCCGTGAAGGCGCACAGTGTGCTGGGGCGACTCCAAGCGCTGAGGCAGCAGGTAGGGCTGGCTGGGACGGCTCTGCAGCCCCGTTCCCTTCGCTCCCTGGCTGGAGCCCAGAGGCACTTTGCTCTGAGCGGGTGGGTCAGTGGGTCTGTGGCCAGAGGCAACTAGCAGGGTGTGGATGAGCAGGGGTGCTGGGGGTCCCTTTGGAGCGTGGGGGTGCTGGCGGTGTGTGTCTGCATGTGCTGGGAGCATGCTGGGTGGTTGGGGTGCTGGCACTCCGTGCTTCTCTGCACTGACCCCACTTCGGTTTCCTCCGTGTCCCTGGCAGAGGCTCCAGCGCTGGCGGGGCGAGTGGCACCACAGCTGGGCAAGGCGGCTGCAGCTGGCAGAGCTGCTCAGCGAGACGCTGGGGCGCGTGGAGGAGCGTTCGGGGCTGTTCCTGATCCAGCCTGTGTTGCCATGGCCTGGCCGGTAAGGCCCGCTCACACCCAGGTGTGGGGGCAGGGCAGGGACTGTCCCAAGGGATCCCCCTGTCCATTGGCATTGCTGGCTCTGGCAGCAGGGAGCGGGGCAGCTGTGGGCCCTCGTCCCGCCCACCGTCCTCCTCTGGGCAGCTCCCACTTCCAAATCGACTCCCCGGGGCCCCTCTTGTTCCAGCCTCCCCCTTCTCCTTCAACCCTCCCCCCATTGCAGCCCCCTAGGAGGTGGGTGGGTCTGGGCACCTGGATCAGCCCCCTCCCCTCCTGACAGCCTCCCCGGGGCTTTATCCCCTCTGCTCCAGGCCGACTGCACTAACCCCTCCTGGAAGGAGCGACGCTCAGCCCCAACCCACTCCCAAGATGCTGGTGCCAGCGCTGATGGGACAGGTAGGGTCCTGGCCAGCTATGGCCCCCCCAGGACTAGGTTGGGCGATGTCTTGAGGGCCTAAGGCTACCAGTGGGCTACCCCAGAGAGGCTCCTCACTCTGGGGGGGCCCAGCGCAGCCTGGGCACATCAAGGGTTTGGGGTCCCTCTGCCCCTGGGGGAAGGGTGCTGCCTGCATTGCCACTGGCCTGTCTGGGCCACGTTCATCCCTGGGGTAAGTGCAGGGGTTCAGTGTTGCTCCCCCAGATCTGGGTATGGGGCAGCGACACAGAGCCCAGAGGGAGAGGCACTGTTGCCCACACAGGATGGAACTGGCAGACTCAAGAGGCTACAGCTCCCCTGTCTGCCCTCCGGCCTTCTCTGCCCCAGTCGGTCCTCACTGGGTCCCCCTGCCACAGCCCCTCCAGGGGGGTGAAGGGAGAGGCGGGAAGCTCTCTGCCCCGGAGCATCAATGAGGTGCCTGTGTCTGACTGCAGGAAGTGAGCAGCCCCCTGGCCACGCGGGGTCTCCGGCTGCGCACCCCAAGGGAGGCAGGGCCCCACAAGCTGTGGAGCTTCCCACCATTGGGGGGCAGCAGGGCCTGGCCAGACCAGGACCTGGTGCTGCCAAGCCCACTGGTGATCACCCCACGACTACTGGAGATGGACCTCAATGGCTACCTGCTGCAAGAGCACCAGGTGAGGTAGGCAAAAGAAAGAACCACACCCCCAGGCATCCCTCAAGGGGCCCAGAGCCACCACTCCTCCCCCGCAATGTCTTGTGCCTGAGGAGTCTCAGGCTACCATGCTGTCTCTCCCCTGCCTCTGAGGAGCCTGGGGCTGTCCCTCCCCCTGCGGTGCCGTCTTCCCATTGCCAAGAGCTGAGCGCATTGCCCTGACTGCACCCCCAGAGCTGAGTTGGAAATGTGCCCCCAGGTAGCTGGGGGGGGGGCCTCTGCAGGTGACTCAGGCCAATGACCAGCTTGCTCTGGATGCCAACCCGCCCCCAGGGGCTGGGCTGCTCGGCCTGTCACAGGTTTGGCTCGATGCCCCAGTGGGCGTTGCTGGAGGTTCCAACTTCTGCTGGGGTGCAAGCCGAGCCCCCTGCCCTGTCCCACGAGCACCAAGTGACCGGAGTGTGTCATTAACACTCAGGCCACAGCTAAAATTGGGTAGCATCCTGCTTGGCCCAGGCTGGGTCGCTGCATATCCTGTGAGCTGGGACCCTGGCGTCCATGCCCCCAGCCCCAGGGCCTCGTGCTGCTCCCAACGCTCATCCCGTTCTCCCCATGCCTTGCAGCAGGAGGAGCCAGCCCGGCCCAGGCCCAGCCAGTCCCAGAACGAGGCCCTTCGCAGCCTCACTGAGGAGTTTCCTTCCTGTCCGACGTGGCATGGCCCTGATAGGCCCCAGCCACTCGGAGAGGCCGTGAGCGCCCAGCTGTGACTCCAGATCGGCTCACGATCCTGTGGGCATGTTCCGGACTTCAAGACACAGCTGGATAAACCATCTATTCAAAATCAGCTGGCTGGGGAAGGATCCCAGCCAATCACAGTCCAGAATGGCCAGACAGCCTTCCCCCTCCCCCCCCCAACATAAAGACACTGCACCTACATGTGCCCAATCACAGCCCTCCTTTCCCTGCCAGGCCCCAATCCCCAGTGCAGAAGCACATTTCTCTGTGTTGGCGGCTGCGCTCTGGCCAGTACCTGGAGAGGACCCCCTGTGCTTTGGCCAGGACGGGGCTTTGGCGCTGGCTTGCGGGATAGTGTATGGACCGAGCTGGAGCTGTTCGGAACACTGCAGCCTGACCTGGATACTGGAGGTTCCTGTCTGGCTAATTGGGTTAGTTTGGGGACAAACAAGCTCTCAGGGGCTGTTAGGAAAAACAAGCAGGAAGGGGAAGAATGGCTCCAGCACAGCCGCTGCACAGGGCTTGAGGGTGCTGAGTGACAAGGCCAGGGCCCAAAAAGGCCCCAGGACAGAAGAGATCCAAAACCTGGAATAGGGTTTAAAAGGGACTCGTTCTGGAGGGGGCAGGGGGTTTTAGGGGACCCAGGCAGAGACACATGTCTGAAGAAGCTAGGCCTGCCGCAGCCACCCTGGGGGTGGTGATCCGTGGGCTTAGCCAGTTGTTTTACAATCCTTGTTCTCGGCGTACTTTGTTCCTACCATCCAAATAAACCTGCCTTTGGTTCACCAGGCTGGCTGCTCACTGCGCTGCTGCTCAGCAATGCCCAAAGGGAAGAACCGCAGGGGCCAGACTCAGGCAGACCTGCTGGATAAGCACAGGTGATCTGCTGGGTGCTGTAGCCCGGGGGCTGGTCTAAGAATGGAAGACTCAATTGAGTCCCTCCCCGGATAGATAGTGACAGAGGCCTGGCACCAGAGGGGTGCACTCAGTGAAGCCAGAAGGGGACAGAGGCACAGCTAGCCCTGTTACTGTGACGTAGGACAGTGGCACCGGAACTGGGGGAGTTAGGGGGTCCATAGCTTTCCCACTTTTTGAAAGTGGATGGGCGGCCCCCGCCCCTCATCCCCCGATCAGGCCAGCATGGACCCCGGTCGGGGAGCCTGGGCAGTTGTGGGAGCCACACAGACCCATTGGGGCGGGGAGGGCTTAGAGCAGCTCCCAGCCCGTGTCCCCACCACCTGAGCCCATTGCACTGTGAGCAGTTGGAGGGGCTACTGCGGCTCCCCACAGCTGCCTGCACGGTTCTTACCATGGCTAGGCTGCAGCTCTGAGGCCCTGCCCCCCCAGCCAGAGCTGCTTCAGGGATAGCTACACAGCCAGGCAGCTGTGGGGAGCCTGGGTCCCTCCACCTGCCCTGGGTGGGGGTCTTGGGGACAGGGACACAGATGGGGGCTGCTTTCGGCCCACCCCAGGCAGAGGGTGGGATGGGCTCTCCGGCCCCGCTCTGGCTTCCAGCTTGGCCAGGGGTGGAGCCTCCAGGGGAAGAGGAGGAGCGGGGAAGGCTCTGATGCTCTTGCCACAGGACACTTATGCATGTGGACACTCAGCTGGGTTAGTTAAGTTTTGGCGCAGTTGTAGGTTGGGGGATGGTAGAACTGGGCTCACAATGGATGGATGGCTTCCAGGCGTGGGGAGTTAGCATGACCTCTGCATGCAGCATTGGAGAGACCAAGACTGGATACCGTGGTCAACTGTGGTGTCCAAACTTCAAAAAGGAGGTTGAAAAATTGGAAAGAGGTCAGCAAAGACTTAAAAGAATGAGCCAATAGTTGCAAATGCTGCCTTAAACTGCATATGCTCAATCTACTTAGTTTTCCAAGAAGAGATAAAGAGGTGACTTGATCATGGCCTTACCGGTACCTAGAGAAGATTTCTGCTCGGCGAAGGCTCATTGATATAGCAAAGGCAGAACAAGAGCCAGTGTCTGGAATCTGAAGCTAAATAAATTCAGACTGGCAGTGAGGTGCGAATGTTTAAACATGAGGGCAGTTAGCCATTGGAACCACTTACCAGGGACGTCCTGGCAGGCTCTAAATGAAGGCCGGATGTGTTTCTAAAAGATCTACTCGAGCTCAACCAGACACTATTGTCTCAATGCAGGAATCACTGGGTGAGATTCTCTGCCTGGCTTATGAGGGAGGCCAGACTCGATTATCCCAATGGGGCCTTCTGGCCGTAAACGCTACGAGTCTTGAGTGTGAAGGGGCTAATGTCTGGCCAGAATACGCACAATGGGCCGGTTCCTGCTCCCAACGTCTGAGTTGTGCCATTGATGTCCAGGGGAGCAGGATTAGACCCATAAGAAGCACTCGCAACATTCTGTTGCTTATGTCTTTATTAGCACTGCCAATAAGTAGGACTCAGAAAAGCGAAAGGAAAAGTCAGAAATAAACCCCTGGGTGGGAAAAGCATTCCAAAGGGGAAGGGAAGGTGAGAGGAGAAATGGACTATGTCCTTGGTGCTGGGCAGGTTAGGCGACAATACATCGAGTATCACAGTTCCTCCGTTCAGAAGGGTTAAGAATGGAGGGTTCTCTATCTTGAACTGTCATCAACATCGTCGTCACTGCTGTCATCACCATTCTCAACAACATCAGGCATAGTGGGGCATGTGATGGATGAGAGCATATCTTGGAGAAGATTGCCCTTTGGGGAATTCTTACTGGATGAGAGGTTAGTTTCGCAGAGAATGTGCTGTGAGGAAGAGAGAGAGAGAGATCATTGGCTGGTCTGGGGGATCTGAGATGGGCACTAGGGCTGGGGCAGCAGCCGTTTTAGTTGGGGCTATGGGGGTTGCTGCAGAGAGGGAGCAGGGGATGTAAGTTTGGCCACTTGCACCTCTAGAGTTGGAAGGTGCAATGAGGTCTTCGGAGGAGGCATGTCATACTGTGAAGTATCATTCCCTCTCACCCCCACCCCCACTACTGTACCTCTATGTATCTAGGCTCTTACTGTGCCCATCACCAGGGAGTCTGGCCAAGAGTGGCCATCCTAGTCTAGAGCAGCACCTGGACCTTGGAACACAGGAAGATCTGGAGGGCTGGAAAAAAACTAATGTTCTGCCAATATTTTAAAAGGGTAAATGGGACGATGCGGGTAAGTCTGACATTGCTTCCAGGCAAGATCATGGGAAGTTTGTTGTGGGATGAGTAATGATTAAAGGATGGCGATGTAATTATTGCCAATCACCATCATTTATAGGAAGTAGTTCTTGTCAAACACAGCTGATAATCAGTTGTAAATGAGATCACAAGTTTGATTGATAATGGTCACTGTGTTGACATCGTATACATGGACTTCGGACATTTGACTTAGCACTGCATGACATTCTGATTAAAAAATCAGCATTACACAAAAACATTATAGCACCTAGTAAATGGCTGAAAAACTGGCTAACGGAACCTCAGAAAGTACTTGTCACTCAGGAACCATCATCCTAGGAGGTGTTTCCAGTGGGGGTCCCGCTGGGATCTGGTCTTGGTTCAATGTTATTTAATCTCTTTGTCCAGGACATGGAAAGAAATGTCTACAATGGTTTGGTGATTTTTGCATGGGTTCTGGATGCACCTTATTCCTCCTTCTCAGACCCTCCCACTTTCTCCTTATCCCATGAGGTGTTGGCCCAGGGCCCATCCCACTGACATTTTATCATGGGGGCCCTGTAGACCCAGGGCGGGCGCTAGCACCGAATGGTTATCCCTGCCAGGCTGGTAAATGTGCCTGTGCAGCGGTACCAAACTGCAAAGGCCTTTAAATGGATGTCCTTCCACTTTGCTTGCTTCCTTTGGGTGTAATTTCATAGCGTGTCCATCAGACATACCCCAGGTGGGCTGTACCACTCTGGTGTCGCAAAATGCCTCTAAACACAGTTTAGCTGGCCAGCTGAGCAGAGTTATGGCTGCTTTGGGTCATTGGAGCGTGCCTGTGAATCTGACTCACAGATATTGCCCCCTTCACTCCCCTCAGTCTATAAGGGTCACCAGACCCCACACCTGGGGGCAAACTCAGATAGGGATCTGTGTAGCCCCATTTGCTACAAGGGATGATGATGGAATTCTGTTGGGGCTGCTACTCACCAATTTCAATTTTTTGATCTGCAGCTTTATGATGTTCTCCTCGTGCTTCCTCTTCTTCTCTTGCTCCTCATACTCTCTCTCTTGCATCTGGCGCTGGGCCTCTCTTTCCTTGGCCTTGTCGTCAAGCTCTTTCTGGTACATGCGTTCCTTGTGCTGTCGTTCTCTTTCACGGTCCTCATGCTGTCTCTTCTTCTCTTCCTCCTCGCGCTCTCTCTTCTTCTCTTCCTTCTCGTGCTGTCTCTTCTTCTCTGCCTCCTCGTTCTCCAGCTTTTTCAGATCCACCTTTGTGTATAAACCACCCAGGTTATACTTGTCTTCAACTCGCTCATGTATCAGATATCCTGGGCCTGGTGCCTCACTGCCCTGCACCCTGTATCATCACATACATTTGTGCAAAATGGGTGTAAAACACTTCCCGCTCAGAATGATTGTCCTTCACATGCACCTTGCAAGGTTCTAGGCCAGGCGAATCGGGCCCACATTGTGGTGGAAATCTGCATAGCACAGCGGAGCAACACTGATTTACACCAGTTGGGGAACCAGGGTGTGGTTTGGTTTGTTCAGGGAGTGTTTCTTGGGCTCTGTGTAAATGTTTGTCCTGTGACTCCTATAGATGCTGCTGCCTTAGAGCTATTCGATGCCTGTGTGATGCCATGAAAGGCTGGCCAGCTTTCAGCATGGCTCCTGCCTGGCTAACACCTGCTCTGCAAATGAACAAGGAACCATCCGTGTGGCAAAACCTATTTATGCCCTGAGTGCTCTAAGTGGGGCAATGTGGTCTAGATGAAATTACCTACTGTAAAGTGTGTGCACAAACTTCCCTCAAAGCGTGGTTATCAATGGTTCGCTGTCAAAGCGGAGGATGTGTCTAGTGGGGTCGCTCAGGTGAATCTGTCCTGGGTCCAGTACTAGTCAATATAACAAAGTGGAGATTATGCTTATGAAATTTATGGGAAGACACCATAGTAGCATGGGACGGAAGCACTTTGTAGAACAGGGTAGATTTCAAAAGGACCTGGACAAATTGGAGCATTGATCTGAAATCAACGAGACAAAATTCAATAAAGACAAGTTGAAAGTACTACACTTAGGAAGGAAAAATCAAATTCACAACTACAAAATTGGAAATAACTGGCTAGGCAGCAGTACTGCTGGAAAGGATCTGGGGGTTATAGTGGATCACAAATTGAATATGAGCCAATATTGTGATGTAGTTGTGGAAAAGGCTAATATAATTCTGGGGTGTATTAAGAGCAGTGTCATATGTAAGACACTGGAGGTAACTGTCCCATTCTACTCAGCACTGGTGAAGCCTCAGCTGGAGTCTTTTGTCCAGTTCTAAGTGCCACACTTTAAGAAAGATGTGGCCAAATTGGTGAGCACCCAAAGGCGTCAACAAAAAAAATGCTTAAAGGCTTAGAAAACCAGACCTATTCCTGAGGCTATGTCAACACTAGAAACTTCAAAGCACTGCCACGGGAGCTCTTTGAAGTGTGAGTGTGGTAATCCACCTCCACAAGGGGAATAGCTCAAACTTGCTGCGTAAGTGTAGACAAGCCCTCAGAGAAGAAGATTGTGGGGAAAACCTGGTAAATCGTCAAATATGCTAAAGCAGCTATAAAGACGATGATCAATTTCTCTCCATGTCCACTGAATGTAGGACAAGAAGGTAGGATGAGAAGTAATGGGCTTAATCTGCAGCAAGGGAGATTTGTATTAGATATTAGGAAAAGCTTTCTAACTCTAAGGATAGTTAAATACCGGAACAAGCTTCCAAGGGAGGTTGTGGAATCCCCTTCTTTGGCAGTTTTTAAGACCAGGTCAGATAAACCCCTGTCAGGGATGTTCTAGGTTGACTTGGGCCTGCCTTCATGCAGGGGGCTGGATCGATGACCTCACCACGTCCCTTCCAGCCCGACATTTCTAGTGCTCCTAGGAGCATGTCCGTGATGTGCTGAAAGGGGGTTAGACAGTGTGTGAAGCTTCTGGTCATTCCCTTTGATTGGGTAGGAAGAGCTGGTGGGTGGGATTCCCAGGAGCCCTGTGGCCTAGCCCCTGGATTCACAAAGGGACTTAGGCACCTACCTCCAACAGCCAGGCACCCTGACATTCACAGCACCCCCACTCAGCTGCCACCTGAGTTGCCGCCTGGGGCACGTGCAGAGGCCCCAAACCCTGACCCTGCCCTGCTACCCGGAGCTCTGACTCACCAGTGGAATTCTCAGAGCAGGTGTTCCCCTGCCTATCTGGCCTGCAAGGCCTGATACCGTAGGCCTGCTCTGCACACTTACTGGTTCGGGCTCCTCACAAAAGAGAGCTGGTGTCAAACAGACTGGGAATTTTGGAGGCTGGCTTGGCTGCATGTATGTCAGTCTACCCAGTAGTGGGGCACTCACCTGGCATGTGGGCAGGCCAGATCTGAATCCCTGCTCTGCCTGATTTGAAGTGAGGACTTGAACCCATGTGAGTGCCCTAACCACCAGCGCAGGGGCTGTAATGGGGGTGTGCGCCCCTCTCTGGTTCTTTCTGAGAGAGGGCTGACCTGGCTTCAGTTTCTAACTGCAGAGAGGGGTCGTGGTGGAGAATCCTGGGCAGAGGAGGGGCCTCCCTCCAGCCTGTCAGTCAGGCACCTAAGTACCCTACGGATCTGGCCCTGCAGCCTCACCCCTGTCCACTGCATGTCACTCCTGGGTAACTCCCCACTCACTGTCTGAGAATCCCTGTCTTAGGAGCCTAACCCTCCTTGTATGTTATCTGGGGAGCCTGAGCACCTAACTCAGGCCCAGCAGAGCCCCAGCAGTTAGGTGTCGCAGCGCCGAGTCCAAGTCCCTTTTGTGAATCTAGCCTGAAGTGCCTGGGGAAAGGCTCTGGGGTTTGTGCTCCTTGGTCCCTTAGGCACTTACGCTGAACTTTTGATGCTCGTTTCATTTCCCTGAGGACGATGGACACAGTAAGCTGGTAACCGTACTCAGTAATACATTCTCTGTATGTGTGTATGTGTGTGTGGGGGGTGGTTCTAGCATTTGTGGGCTAAATATTGTGTGTGTTACAGTAGCACCTACAGGCTCCAGCTAAGATCAGGCCCCCGCGGTGCTAGCTGCTCTCCATACACATGGTGAGAGCTAGTCTCTGCCCTGGGGAATTTACAATCTAATTAGCCAACAAACAAAGGCAGACTTGTTACCCCATTTTACAGCTTGAGGCCCAGAGAGACTCCATGACTCTGTTCCCTGTTCTCCTGCATTCCAGGCACTGCCTTAACCAGAAGCCATCCCTGCCCTCATGTGGCTGTCATGACAATAGAGCCTGTGAAGTGGAGTCGGTGCTGGCTCTGGCCTGCAGTGGGGAGGGTGGAGGGGGGGCAAGGAATCATGCTGCACTCACCTGAGATGTCAAAATGCCGCCCATCTGTGAAAACAAAAACAGAGCTCAGCTACCCTCAGTGATGGATGAAACTGGGAGGGGAGGGTGAGACAGAACGGAGAACATATGGCACTGCAGGGGGGATAGAAGGGCAAGGACACTGCTGTGGCTCCTGGCTGGAAGGTGGCTTTGTAACCAACCACCTACACTTGAGCAAGCTCTGTCCTGAACGCTGGGCAACATCTGCTCTGGCTCCCATTCCACCAGCATCTGAGCCCCTCCCTGACCCACCTGGAGTCATCCCCCACCCCTGCAAGGCAGCACAGCAGCCTCACAACATTTCCGCAGGGGAGCTGAGGCACAGAGATGAAGTGCCTCGCCCCAGGTCACACAGGGACAGCCGCAATTGACCCCAGCTCTCTGCACCCACAGCCAAAAGGAGCAAGGAGCTGGCTCCACAGATGAACCTGCATCCCTGTCTCCCACCAGCTGCCCCAGATCCTGCCTAGGCAGCTATGTCAAGAGGTGCTGGTCTATTGCACAGCGTGAGGAGTGCGTGGATCATAGATCCTATGGGCAGATGCTCAGACCTGCTATGCTCGCTTTGTTCCCATCAGGCATGTTCCTCCCCCTCAGTTAAATTATGTCTCTGCACTGTAGCTAATCATCTTATTTAATTATGGGATTTATTGTTGTGGTTAATTCATGTTTACTCAGTGTGTGATGGCATGGGCAGCACATGGCTCTGGCATTTGGGGAAGCTGTCCAAACGCCAGAAGCTTCCCTGGCACCCGGACCGTGGCCCTGCCCCCTGCTCCGCCCCAAGGCCCTGCCTCCACTCGGCCTCCTCCCCCAAGGCCCCACCCACACTCCACCCCCAGGCCCCGCCCATGCTTGGTTCCTTCCCTTGCTGCTCTCTTAGTCGTTCCACCCCTCCCGCCCCCAAGACCAGGGCCATCCCTAGCTATTCTGGGGCCCTACGTAGCACCCCGCGGGGTGTGTGTGTGTGGCCCCAGGCCTCCGCGGGAGGGCGGGGGGGTTGGCCCTAGGCCTCTGTGGGGGGGGCACTCACCGGCAGCGTGGCTGGGGCCGGGTCACTGCACTTCCCACTGCTGGTGACTGCAGCCCCTGCCCTGCTGCAGAGCTCAGGGGAGTGGGGGCAGGGCTGAGGCAGGGCAGGGGTGGGGGCCCTGGGGAAGAGGCAGAGCAGAGGTTGGAGCAGCACGCAGCTGCGCAGGGCACCAGGAAATTTGGTGCCCCACATTTCCTGGTGCCCTGCGCAGCTGCGTACTTTGTGTATGGGTAAGGACGGCCCTGCCCGAGACCCTCCGCTGAGCAATACCGGATTTATAATGGCGCCATGGCGCCGGGCCCACGGTCAAAAGGGGCCCTGGCGCGCTCTTCTCCGTCCCGTCCCCTCCCCCCCCCGCTCTCTACTGTGGGGTCAGAGCTTGACGCTGTGGGCTGCTGCGGCTCCGTGGCAGCCTCTGCCTGCAGCCTGGCTCCTGCCCCGCCCCTTTCCCCAGCTACGTTCCCTCCCCCCACCCCAGCTGCCGATCAGCTGGATCAGCTGCTAGCCGGCAGGAGGGGGGAGGAGGGAGCCGCAGTACGCCGCTCCGGGGGGGAGGAGGAGAAGAAGAGGCGGGGATGAGGCCTGTCCCCCGCCTCTTTCCCCAACGTGCTACGTTCCCCCTCCCCTCCCACTGGTCAGCTGGATCAGCCTTGCGGACAGGAGGGGGGCAAGAAGGAGCAAGCCGCAGCACACCACTCCGGGGAAGAGGAGAAGACGAGGTGGGGTGAGGCCTTGGGGAAGGGGCTGGAATTGGGGCATACCCCCGCCAGCCCCCTGCGTGAGCACCCCCACGACCCCAACCCACCCCAGCAGCTAGGGTGACCAGACAGCAAGTGTGAAAAATCGGGACAGGGGGTGGGGGGTAATAGGAGCCTATATAAGAAAAAGACCCAAAAATCGGGACTGTCCCTATAAAATCGGGCCATCCGGTCACCCTACCAGCAGCCCCCTGCCCACCCTAACCCCTGCACCCCCCAGCCCCCTTAGCCTCTGGCCCTGCCCTGACCCTGACCCTGCACTCCCCTCACACCTCCTCAGCACCCCCTCACACACCCCCAGCCGCCTTCCCTGACCCCTGCACCCCCCACACCTCCCTGCCCTGACTCCTGCATCCCCCTCACACCTCCCCAGCCCCCTGCACCCCCCTCTCACCCCCTCACATGCCTCCAGCCCTGACCCCTGCACCCCCTACACCTCCCCAGCCCTGACCCCTGCATCCCCCCCACATCCCCATCCCCATCCTGAGAACCAAACAGGAGCTGCCCCAGGTAAGCGCTCCACACCCCAACCTCATGCCCCAACCCTGAGCCCCCTCCCTTGCCCTAGCTCCTGGCCAGACCCCGCACCCGAACATTTTTTTACAATATTTGGAAAGATCATTAAGTGGTCCGTCGAGACCCTCTGTGGTTTTCAAGTGGTCTGTGGAAAAATAAGTTAGACTACAAGAACAATCAAGGTACCTCACTTTATTTTCATTTACTTGCTATTACTTATCGGAGGAGGATGAAGAATAAAAGAATGAAAAATGGGGGAAGGGGGAGATAAGAGAGAATGTTCTTTTTCTTGACTGGGTCCCAAGGAGGAGCCCCAAAAATGAAGCTGAGCACAGGGCTGGGGGGCCCCACTAACTCTAAATCCACCACTCGCTGTCACGTCACCTGGGCTGGGGATACTGTCAGGGCCGGTGTAACCACTAGGTGAACTAGGCGACCGCTTAAGGCGCCAAGATTTGGGGGTGCCAAAAAGCGGTGTCCAAAATTTTTTTTTACACTACAGTGGAGTCACATCTTACACGGGGGTTAGGTTCTAAAGTCACTGCGTAAGAGGAAAATTGCGTATAGTGAAAATTACCATAAAGTACAGTATACACTAGAACAGGGGTCCTCAACCTAAGGCACACATGCCAAAGGTGGCACGCAAGCTGATTTTTTTTTAATGGCAGGCTGCGGATCCCGGCTGCTGCTGAGCCTGCTGCCGACCTGGGGTTCTGTTCACTCAGCTGGCAGCGGGCTGAGCAGGGCCAGCAGTGGGCTGGCTCCTGCCAGCCGGGGTCCCAGCCGCCAGCCCCGCTCAGCCCGCTGCTGGTCTGGGGTTCCGGCTGCCAGCCCGCTGCCAGTCGGGGTCCCGGCCACCGGCCCCACTCAGCCTCCTGCTGGCCTGGGGCTCCGTTCACCCAGGCCGCCAGGAGGCTGAGCAGATCTGGCGGCCAGGACCCCGGCTGGCAGCGGGCTGCTCAGCCCGCTGCCGGTCTGGGGTCCCGGCCACCGGCCCCACTCAGCCTGCTGATAATCTGGGGTTCCGGGTGCCCGCCCCTTGCCAGCCAGGGTCTCGGCCGCTGGCCCTGCTCAGCTTCCTGCCGGCCTGGGTGAATGGCAGGAGGCTGAGCGGAGTCGCCGGCTGGGACCCCAGCTGGCAGCTGAGTGAACAGACCCCCTGGCTGGCAGCAGGCTCAGCGGTGGCCGGGACCCACAGGCTGCCATTAAAAAAAAAAAAATCAGCTCGCATGCCACCTTTGGCATGCGTGCTGTAGGTTGAGGACCCCTGTTCTAGTGTATACTGTACTTTATGGTAATTTTCACTATACGCAATTTTCCTCGTATGCGCTGACCTTAGAACCTAACCCCCGCGTAAGATGTGACTCCACTGTATTCATTTTTGAAAATTTATAATAAGTGATGCTCCGGAGGGGAGGGGGAGGGTGCAAGGTGGAAGTTTCGCCTACGGTGCAAAATATCCTTGCACCAGCCCTGGATACTGTGTCAGCTGATCCCCACGGTCTCCAACCTACCTGGGCAGTACAGCAGACATGGCCCTGCCCACTAGCTCCTCTCCACTCCCTAGCCCACCCAACACTTGCTTCCCCCCCCCACTTAAACATGCTGGCTTACCCCCCCCCCCCCCCCCAGGCATTTCTGGCAGCCCTGTTGCCAGGTATCCAGTTTTAGACTGGAAACTCCAGTAGAAAACAGGACCTGAGTGTCCGGTTAGCAGTGCTGACTGGAAACTAAATGTCCGGTTATAGGAGTAACCACATTAGCCTCCGCTCCTCCCACTCCCAACACCCACCCCAGAGGGCTGGAAGAGAACCTGTCCTGCTGCTGCGGGAGGAGGGCAGCTCAGTGCAGAGAGGTGAAGAGAATGGGCTAGAACCAGGTAGGTACCCGCTCTATGTGGGGGGGGGGAGTTCTGTTTACTCCCTTCTCAGCCCTGCTGCGCTTGCAGTTTACCCCTGGCCCCTCTCTTGCTCTAGGGACCAACCCTAGCTCCTGCCCCACTGTGCTTTTGCCCCCGGCCCCTTTTACAATTATTCCCCAGGGAGGGCCCACAAATATGTTTGGCGCCGGACCCACAAAAAGTTAATCCGGCCCTGCCGCTGAGTCCCTCCCCGCTGCCCCCAACGCCTGCTGTGTCCCTCCTCTGCGCCACTCCTCCTCCCCCAAAGGCCCCCCTGCCTGTCGCTCACTGTGTCATTCCATCCCTCCCCCCCACCCCGAGAACCCCACCGCATATCTCCCCTCCTCCACCCCCACTGCCCGCTGAATCCCTCCCCTCCTCCACCCACCCTCCCCCGAGGTTTCCGCTGCCTGCCACTCACCACATCCCTCCTCTCCTCCTCCCTCCCTCCCCCAAAGGCCCCCCTGCCTGCCTGTCACTTGCTGGAGCGCGGCCGCGTGGCGCACCTTCCGGGAGCCGTGTTGTGCGGCCCCTGACCCTGCGCCTGGCCGGAGCGGGACAAGCCCCAGACCCTGTTCTGCAGTGGGAGGTCGAGGGCCGGATCCGGCCCACGGGCCGTAGTTTGCCCACCCCAACGTTAGTGCATCTGACTTCGAATCAGTGCAGACCGGGACAGTGCAAGGAGGGCCGAGACCCCACACAGACACACACATTGCAGAGGGGCAGCAGTATGAGCCAAAGTCAGATAGTTGTTAATGGGAAAAGGTTAAAGACATCTGGACTTCCCGCGCTGATTGGCAGTTAACAAGTCTGGTACCAGTCCTGCCACAGAACCGCCAAGGTACGCGCGTGGTGACACTGCACGGTTAGAAAAAGGACCTGAACAGAACAAGTAAAGCATTACCTTGTTTCAACCTGCAACTGAGTGGGTGCTCTGACCCGAGAGCCTGTCGCGCTGATCTGGCTAGAAGCTTCTAGCTGCTGCACAAGGAAGTGGTTAGAGGAAACAGAACACCCAATGACGAGACACTAGCCTTTTCCTGTAACTCCCTGCCCCGGATTATTTATTATAATCATTTGCCTGCATCCAGGCTTTTCTCCAGAAACAGCAAATAAACTAGTGCATCAGGGGCAGCACCAGAGGCCATCTGGGCTCAATAAAGTTCCCCTGGGGGGACATCAGGTTTAGCTGGCTGATTTAGCTGGTTTAGCTGAGATATGGCTGCTGTGTGTCCTTGCAGCAGCTGGCACGTGTCTGTGAACCTGGCTCATTTATATATTGCCCCCCCATTCACCCCCCTGTGAGTCTGTACATCTGGGGGCAAACTCAGGTAGGGATCTGTGTAGCCCATTTGCTACAAGGGGTGACGATGGATCCCACTCACCAGCTTCAGGGATCTGATGTGCAGCCATCACATCTTCTCCTCTTTCCTTGGTCTTGTCGAGCGCTCTCCCCTCGCACATTGTCTGGGGAACCTGCAGATGCTGCTGTAACACACAATGAATGTTGGCTTCTGCCCCAAGGAACTGGCCCAAACCTTCCCCAGGGCCCAACCCAAACCCCCATATTTACTAGCATTCAAAAATACTGCAGGGAAAACAGCCCCAGCCATGAGCCCTGAGCCAGCCCCCAGACAGGGGATCTTTCCCATCACCCATCCAGCTCCAGTGATGCAAGAGCACTAAAGCCAGAAGTAGCTCTTACCTGGGCTATTGAGGCCCTGGAGCTGAGAAACAACCTTGTCCCTCCTCAGTCTGTGGTGCTGGGCAAGGAATTCTTATGCTGGGGACATAAAGCGATGGATGAGTGATCTGCATGGACAGAGAGAGAGAGATGGGCAGGGGGGATGGGGACCACACGGATTGCCCAGAGAGGGGGGAGGGGACAGGAACTGCGTGGGATCGCCTGGTGAGGGGGCAGGGGACATGGATCCTGTGGGATTGCAAGGGGAGGGGACAGGGACCGCACAGGATTGTTCAACAAGGAGGAGGACGTGGAATGGAAGGAGGACCACACTGGAGCACCCAGTGAGGAGGTGCAGACGCAGAGGGACAGGGGGCAGGTGGCATCCCTGTGACATTTCCCAGGATACCCAGGGTGGCAGGCACCTCGCTACCGCTTGTCCTTAGCATGAGGAGCCTTGTCTGTGCCTGTCAACCCCGCTGGCCATGGCTAACACAAGCCCTGCCATCTTGGCCTTGTGGACCCAGCTGTCACTCTGCAGGTTAGCAATAGGCACGCTCCAACCCCCAAGCCTTCTCAGGAACGTCCCGCCCCTGAGCCACTGGACACTTGCCACATTCACCAGCTTCGTCAGCAGCTTCCAGAGAAGCAGTGAGCCCCCGGTTTACCAGTTCCAGCTCAGCTCCTAACTCCATTTAACTCACAGCACTTGCATTTGTTTATAGTGAAATCAAGGATACAGTTATTTAACAAAGCCCAGAGATTTACGTAAGAGCATGTAGATGTGCTGGCAACAAATGATTACATCCAACATAAAATCATAACACCCATCCTAGAGCCTAGACTTGCTTAACAAGTTACCTTGTTGGCTGATAAGATAGTTCTCACCCAAAAATCCTTCTCACAGCACTGTACAGCCAAGCTGGCTGGGACCCTCCTTTCAGAAGACATGCACACTGGCAGCTTGGCTTCTAGGTGACGGATCTCCCTTCCTCCCCAAGCTATACCAGTCCCTTCCATTGCTGTCAATCATAAGCAAGCAAGCCCCTGCTGATTTTTTTCATGTAGCTTTTCTCTCTCAAACATTTTGCAATCTTTTGCCTGGCACTTGGCTCTGTCTGCAAATGGGCACAGAGCGCGAGGCAGACAAAACACAGCTATCCAGACAGGGAGCTAGGCATCCCTTGCCTCCCACCAGGGGCTCTTGATGCTACCAAAGAGACCCATGACCAGTCTCCTGAGCCCCACCATAGAGTCTCAGTTATGCCCTGGGAGCTCTAGCTGGATCTCAGCCCTGCAAAAGGGACACCTGATGTCACACCAGGGGAACTTGATTGGGCCCAGATGGCCTCCAGTGCTGCCCTTGACACTCTAGTTTATTTGCTGTGTCTGGGTGAAAAAAACTGGGTGCAGCTGAATGGTTAATAAATAATCTGAGGTAGGTAGTTACAGGCAAAGGCTAATCTAGTTATTGGATGATGCTCTGGTTGCTCTAACTACTTCCTTGTACAGTAGCTAGATGTGTCTTGCCAGATCAGAGCTATGGGCTCTCCAGTCACACCACCCACCCAGCTGCCTTCGTAGAGCTTGAAACAAGATAATGCTTTATTTTCTGTTCCTTTCTCTAACTGCGCAGTGTCACCACACACGTACCATGGTGGTTTGTGACAAAGTTGGTACAAGACCTGTTAACTGCAGATCAGCGCAGCAAGTCCAGATAAGAGCATACACATAAGAGCAGCCATACCGGGTCAGCCCACAGTCCATCTTGCCTGACATCCTGGCTCCGACTGTTGGGATTTTCCAGTGTATCCCTGGGGTGTCCAGTCTACCCCAATAAGGTTCAGGAGTCGACACTATTAGTCCAAAGGTTGATCAGCACTTGTTCAGTGTAAAACTGATATAAGTGGGATCAGAATCAGACACAGAGGTTAGAAAGGGCTTTGGGCTCTTTCATAACGATAAGTATAAATGTCTGACTGTTATAATACAAACCCTCTATGAAACATCCCCACTTACATGCTTGAAAAATGTGCCTAAGCTAGATATGGGTGGATCTGAAAGGGACAAACACATAGAAGGGCAACAGCAGAATTAGGGAAACACAGCCCTTCCTCCAGTCCATTAAGGTGGAAAAATGGGAGTAGACATGTCCAAGCCATAGAGTACAGTAGATAGAAGACCACAAGAAAAATGACACTGAACAAACTGCAAGACATCTACTGCCAAACCTCTGCCTGGATGGTAAAAATACAGTGGCTCAACTTAACTTCATTTATCTCATTTCCTTTGGAGCTAAGGTCCAAATTTAGGGTGGGGTTTTCAAAAAGCACCTAAGTGACCAATCAAAGTCAGTGAGATTTATGCTCCTAAATTACATAGGTGCTTTTGAAAATTCCACACAAGACAATTAAATCATGGTAATCAGCCTCTCTGAACTCTAAAACCAGAGATTCACCCTACACAAGAGGTGGTAGATCAACAAGCTATTTAATGTTCTGAAGTGTGTAGTCTATGTTAATAAAAGTTAGGGTTTACCAAGCTTAACACATACATACAGTCTCAGTGAAAGAGGTATTCCCAGAATAAATAAATACAATGTAAGTCCTGAAAGGGTGAGAAGAAAAGATAAAAATGTTGAGGGTGTGATAAGATTTACGAAACACAGGTCCGGTTTTAATCTCTGCTGCCATCTTCAGTGCTAATTATCTCCACCAGAGGGAGCCAAAGTACAATAAATAATAGTTACCAGCACTCTGAGTTAGCCTGAGTTATTTTTGAAGGTTTGATAGTGAAAGTGAGGGGCTCCCCATATTCAGTTTGTGTACATATATAATTTTAACACCCTCCTTTTACTAAATACAGGAGAGACAAATTCTGTCCTCAGTTACACACATACACCCCAGTGGAGACTGGCGAGACACACTAGTGCCATAGGGCAAAATTTGGCCCATTGTATTTAGCAGCAACTCTCCCTTACTGAAAGGAGAATCACTAATAGTGAACTATCCCTTGACAGGACATAAGAACGGCCATACTGGGTCAGACCAATGGTCCATCTAGCTCAGTATCCTGTCTTCTGACAGTGGCCAATGCCAGATACTACAAAGGGAATGAACAGAACAGGTAATCATCAAGTGATCCATCCTGTCGTCCAGTCCCAGCATCTGGCAATCAGCAGTTAAGAGACACCCAGAACATGGGGTGGCATCCCTAACCAACTTGGCCAATAGCCATTGATGGACCTATCCTCCAGAATCGTATCTAATTCTTTCTTGAACCCAGTTATACTTTTAGCTTTCACAACATCCCCTGGCAATGAGCTATACAGGTTGATTGTGCATGGTGTGAAGTAGTTCCTTATGTTTGAAACCTGCTGCTTATTAATTTTATTGCATTACCCCCTGCTTCTTGTGCTATGTGAAGGGATAAACACCACTTCCTTATTCACCTTCTCCACATCATTCATGGTTTTGTAGCCATCTATCATATCCCCCTTAGTCGCTTCTTTTCCAAGCTGAACAGTCCCAGTGTTTTTACTCTCTCTTCATATGAAAGCTGTTCCATGTCCTTAATCATTTTTGTTGCCCTTCTCTTTACTTTTTCTAATATATCATTTTTTGAGTATTCAAGGTGTGGGCGTACCATGGATTTATATAGTGGCATTATGATAGTTACTGTCTTATTATTTATCCCTCTCCTAGTGGCTCCTAACATTGTTAGCTTCTTTGACTGCCCCTGCACATTGAGTGGACGTTTTAAGAGAAATGGCCACAGTGACTCCAAGATCTCTTTCTTGAGTGGTTACAGCTAATTTAGACCCTGCCCCCATCATTTTGTATGTCCAGTTGGGATTATGTTTTCCAATGTGCATTACTTTGCATTTATCAACATTGAATTTCATCTCCATTTTGTTGCCCAGTCACCCAGTTATGTGAGATCCCTTTGTAACTCTTCGCAGTCTGCTTTGGACTTAACTATCTTGAGTAATTTTGTATCATCTGCAAATTTTGCCATCTCACTATTTACTCCTTTTTCCAGATCATAGGGGACACCACTATTTGCCTCTCTCCATTCTGAAAACTGACCATTTATTTCTACCCTTTGTTTCTTATCTTTTAACTAGTTACTGATCCATGAGAGGACCTTCCCTCTTATCCCATGACTCCTTACTTTGCTTAAGAGCCTTTGGTGAGGGACCTTGTCAAAGACTTTCTGAAAGTCCAAGTACACTATATCCACCGGATCACCCTTGTCCACACGTTTGTTGACCCCCTTCAAGAATTCTAATATAGTGGTGAGGCACGATTTCCCTTTACAAAAGCCATATTGACTCTTCCCCAACAAATAATGTTCATCTATGTGTCGCTAATTCTGTTCTTTTACTAAAGTTTCAACCAATTTGTCTGGTACTGAAGTCAGGCTTCCTGGCCTGTATTTGCCAGAATCGCCTCTGGAGCCATTTTTAAAAATTGGCATCATGTTAGCTATCCTCCAGTCATCTGGTACAGAAGCTGATTTAAATGATAGTAACTTATTACTGTTTAATGTATCTATTTGTTCCAAAACCTCCTCTACTGACACCTCAATCTGGGACAGTTCCTCAGATGTATCACCTAAAAAGAATGGCTCTGGTGTAGGAATCTCCTTCATCCTCTGCAGACCAATGCAAATAATTCATTTAGCTTCTCTGCAATGGCCTTGTCTTCCTTGAGTGCTCCTTTAGCATCTCAATCATCCAGCGACTCCACTGACTATTTGGCAGGCTTTCAGCTTCTGATGTACTTAAAAAAAAATTTGCTGTTAGTTTCTGAGTCTTTTGCTAGTTGCTCTTCAAATTCTTCTTTGGACTGCCTAATTATACTTTTACATTACTTTTACTAACACCTGCTTTACTAACAGTCAGAATCATCCTGGGGAGTATTTTGCATGCAGCCATGTGAGAATAAAATCTCCGCTCAAGAAGTCATATTGAAATCAAAGCCTGTTACCCGAAAAATTGTAAACATCTTGCAATTATTTGATGAAAGCTTGTATGTAATTTTAATATGAAATAAATTTTTAAGTAGTTGAAGCTGTTTACAGCAAATGTAACCAGTTGTTAAAATATAATGAGTATCCAAAAAATTATAAGGCACACCCAGTTGTAGTCAATATAATAAGTTAGCCTGGGCCAAAAATAATACAAAGAAATTCAATTCAGAATTCAGTCCTCCAGTCACTGAACTAAAAAAACCTTTAAGTACCATTACAGTGCTATTTAAAGTAACCATCAACCAACACAGAGAGAGAGAACAAGGACATATACAATGCTAAAGATGGGATGTTATTAAACAGGCATACACATATTTAGCAATGTTTTAGCAAAGCCAAGTTATGTTTTTGATATAAACCATTTAAATGTCATTTATAGTTTTCTTTTCAATTTATTTTTCACATCGGAGAAAACGTCCATTTCATTTTTAATCCAATATACCGAGTAACCTGAAGTGCCAGGAATGAAGTCATGTAGTTCCCCAAGGTATTTCTTCATCTCACTAGAAGAGACATAACCTACAAAGTGAAAATGTATATTTATAAACACCACAGAAACTACAGCACACGGGCCAGTCTTTTTTATTGGACTTTCTGGAGTGTGGAATGAATATCCACAAAATTAAAAACACTGTTGATATGGGGTGGGGGAGGATCACAGACACAGTATCACAAACACAGAAATGCCTGGTACTTTATTACTATTTTCAGTGAGATTACATCAAATATTATATAATGTATTGCAGAGAAGAGCACTCTGTTGGGAAATACATGCAGCTCCTGCAGCTCTGCCATCATTTCCCCAGGGAAAGCAAGCACAGGGCTGCAAAGGTTATTAAATCATTAATAGTATGCACACAATGTGGGCATAAATGATACTGCGCGGTGTGACACTGAGCGGATCAAGAGTGACTACAGGGCTCTGGGAGTACGGGTGAAGGAGTTTGGAGCGCAGGTGGTATTCTCTTCGATTCTTCCTGTCAAAGGTAGGGGCCCGGGCAGAGACAGATGCATCATGGAGGTGAATGCCTGGCTGCGAAGATGGTGTCGCCAGGAGGGCTTTGGCTTCCTAGACCACGGGATGCTATTTGAGGAAGGACTGCTAGGCAGAGATGGTGTTCACCTTTCGAGGAGGGGAAAGACCCTATTTGGGCACAGACTGGCTAACCTAGTGAGGAGGGCTTTAAACTAGGTTCGACGGGGACAGGTGAGCAAAGCCCGCAGGTAAGTGGGGAACATGGAGACCTGGGAGATGGGTCGGAGACGAGAGGGAGTGTGGGCTATATTGGCAGAGAGAAAGGAAGGTCAGGACAAAACCGGGAGGAAAGATCAAACCAGTATCTTAGATGCCTATATACAAATGCGAGAAGTATGGGTAATAAGCAGGAAGAACTGGAAGTGCTAATAAATAAATACAACTATGACATTGTTGGCATCACTGAAACTTGGTGGGATAATACACATGATTGGAATGTTGGTGTGGATGGATACAGCTTGCTCAGGAAGGATAGACAGGGGAAAAAGGGAGGAGGTGTTGCCTTATATATTAAAAATGTACACACTTGGACTGAGGTAGAGATGGACATAGGAGACGGAAGTGTTGAGAGTCTCTGGGTTAGGCTAAAAGGGGTAAAAAACAAGGGTGATGTCATGCTAGGAGTCTACTACAGGCCACCTAACCAGGTGGAAGAGGTGGATGAGGCTTTTTTTAAACAACTAACAAAATCATCCAAAGCCCAAGATTTGGTGGTGATGGGGGACTTCAACTATCCGGATATATGTTGGGAAAATAACACAGCGGGGCACAGACTATCCAACAAATTCTTGGGCTGCATTGCAGACAACTTTTTATTTCAGAAGGTTGAAAAAGCTACTAGGGGGGAAGCTGTTCTAGACTTGATTTTAACAAATAGGGAGGAACTCGTTGAGAATTTGAAAGTAGAAGGCAGCTTGGGTGAAAGTGATCATGAAATCATAGAGTTTGCAATTCTAAGGAAGGGTAGAAGGAAGAACAGCAAAATAGAGACAATGGATTTCAGGAAGGCGGATTTTGGTAAGCTCAGAGAGCTGATAGGTAAGGTCCCATGGGAATCAAGACTGAGGGGAAAAACAACTGAGGAGAGTTGGCAGTTTTTCAAAGGGACACTATTAAGGGCCCAAAAGCAAGCTATTCCGCTGGTTAGGAAAGATAGAAAATGTGGCAAAAGACCGCCTTGGCTTAACCACGAGATCTTGCATGATCTAAAAAATAAAAAGGAGTCATATAAAAAATGGAAACTAGGACAGATTACAAAGGATGAATATAAGCAAACAACACAGGAATGCAGGGGCAAGATTAGAAAGGCAAAGGCACAAAATGAGCTCAAACTAGCTAAGGGAATAAAGGGGAACAAGAAGACTTTTTATCAATACATTAGAAGCAAGAGGAAGACCAAAGACAGGGTAGGCCCACTGCTTAGTGAAGAGGGAGAAACAGTAACAGGAAACTTGGAAATGGCAGAGATGCTTAATGACTTCTTTGTTTCGGTCTTCACCGAGAAGTCTGAAGGAATGCCTAACATAGTGAATGCTAATGGGAAGGGGGTAGGTTTAGCAGATAAAATAAAGAAAGAACAAGTTAAAAATCACTTAGAAAAGTTAGATGCCTGCAAGTCACCAGGGCCTGATGAAATGCATCCTAGAATACTCAAGGAGCTAATAGAGGAGGTATCTGAGCCTCTAGCTATTGTCTTTGGAAAATCATGGGAGACGGGAGAGATTCCAGAAGACTGGAAAAGGGCAAATATAGTGCCCATCTATAAAAAGGGAAATAAAAACAACCCAGGAAACTACAGACCAGTTAGTTTAACTTCTGTGCCAGGGAAGATAACGGAGCAAGTAATTAAGGAAATCATCTGCAAACACTTGGAAGGTGGTAATGTGATAGGGAACAGCCAGCATGGATTTGTAAAGAACAAATCATGTCAAACCAATCTGATAGCTTTCTTCGATAGGATAACGAGTCTTGTGGATAAGGGAGAAGCTGTGGATGTGGTATACCTAGACTTTAGTAAGGCATTTGATACGGTCTCGCATGATATTCTTATCGACAAACTAGGCAAATACAATTTAGATGGGGCTACTATAAGGTGGGTGCATAACTGGCTGGATAACCGTACTCAGAGAGTTGTTATTAATGGTTCCCAATCCTGCTGGAAAGGCATAACGAGTGGGGTTCCGCAGGGGTCTGTTTTGGGACCGGCTCTGTTCAATATCTTCATTAACGACTTAGATATTGGCATAGAAAGTACGCTTATTAAGTTTGCGGATGATACCAAACTGGGAGGTATTGCAACTGCTTTGGAGGACAGGGTCATAATTCAAAATGATCTGGACAAATTGGAGAAATGGTCTGAGTTAAACAGGATGAAGTTTAACAAAGACAAATGCAAAGTGCTCCACTTAGGAAGAAAAAATCAGTTTCACACATACAGAATGGGAAGAGACTGTCTAGGAAGGAGTACGGCAGAAAGGGATCTAGGGGTTATAGTGGACCACAAGCTAAATATGAGTCAACAGTGTGATGCTGTTGCAAAAAAAGCAAACATGATTCTGGGATGTATTAACAGGTGTGTTGTGAGCAAGACACGAGAAGTCATTCTTCCGCTCTACTCTGCTCTGGTTAGGCCTCAGCTGGAGTATTGTGTCCAGTTCTGGGCACCGCATTTCAAGAAAGATGTGGAGAAATTGGAAAGGGTCCAGAGAAGAGCAACAAGAATGATTAAAGGTCTTGAGAACATGACCTATGAAGGAAGGCTGAAAGAATTGGGTTTGTTTAGTTTGGAAAAGAGAAGACTGAGAGGGGACATGATAGCAGTTTTCAGGTATCTAAAAGGGTGCCATAAGGAGGAGGGAGAAAACTTGTTCACCTTAGCCTCTGAGGATAGAACAAGAAGCAATGGGCTTAAACTGCAGCAAGGGAGGTCTAGGTTGGACATTAGGAAAAAGTTCCTAACTGTCAGGGTGGTTAAACACTGGAATAAATTGCCTAGGGAGGTTGTGGAATCTCCATCTCTGGAGATATTTAAGAGTAGGTTAGATAAATGTCTATCAGGGATGGTCTAGACAGTATTTGGTCCTGCCATGCGGGCAGGGGACTGGACTCGATGACCTCTCGAGGTCCCTTCCAGTCCTAGAATCTATGAATCTATGAATCTATAAGTTAAAGAAAGTCTTTTTCACTGGTGCAAATTGGAGAGAAAGAACCTTTATACTGGGAGTGATGTCCTTGGACAATCCTTCTCTCTACCCCATTGGGTGCACACTAAATGGTTCCTATGCATTAATGTAGTCTTGTTTGAAGAGTACTACGTTAATGCAAGCTAGGAACCTTTTAATTTGCATCTGCAGCGTTCACACGAGAGTGCTACAGTGCAGCACTGGTATGCACTGCTATTCATACCCCCATAGGCCAAACTGTTGGGCAATGTAGACATAGGCTTAGTATAGTGTGGGAATGAACTTGTCTACTAGGATAGAAATTCATTTCTGTGCAGAAAAGACAGGACCAAGCCTATGTATCACTTTAGTCCTGCTTAAGCCTTCAAAATAGAACTTAAGTTGCCCATAGGGTTGGCCCTCTGCACAGGGGTGAATTTCACAGTAGGTGAATTATACTGAAAATAATTAATACATGAAAAATATTGTAATAGAACCCCATACTGCATTTACCAGATTCGGGAACCTCTCATAATGATCAACTAAGAAAAGGGGCAGCCATAACTCATCCTCTAGAAGTATACCTAGATAATATGAACTTTTTCTTATCACCAGTGTCTAGTGACACACACCCTAAAGTGCTCATGAAACTAGATGGAGTATCGGAAGCACAGGTGAGCTCCCAAAGGGTCAAAAAAATGGCAAATACAGCACCTATTTTTAGGAGGGGAAAAGGTGGATCCAGGGAGTTACCAGGGGTCGGCAACCTTTGGGAAGTGGTGTGCCAAGTCTTCATTAATTTAAGGTTTCGCATGCCAGTAAAAGGTTTCGCGTGCCATCCAGGCCGGCAGCGGGCTGAGCGGGGCCGGCGGCCGGGATCCTGGCTGGCAGCAGCATGCCACTAAAAATCAGCCCACGTGCCACCTTTGGCACGCATGCCACAGGTTGCCAACCTCTGTACTGGACAGTCATTTTAACTTTGATGCAACATCTGATAAACTGCTAGAAATGTTAATACAGCATCACTTTTGATACTTGCAAACACCTAGAGAAATTAAAGTGATAAATAGGGGACAACCTGGATTCATCAAAAACAAATATCAAATCAATTTCAGTGAAAACTATACCCTTTGTTGAACCCAACTGTTAGAAAGTTCACATGGTGAGAAGGACATCTCACTAGGAATAGATGCAGAATTGCATGAATATTGATTGTATAGAATTTGCACAGAAAAGACACACTGCTTGATTTTCTGTCTGCATTATAAAGAAATCAAGCATGAACAGGGCATAGATTAGGCCAATCTTCATCAGGATCACCCATAGCATTGTTTGCATTTGTTCCATTTGGCAGAAAGTTCACCTATATTAATCTTTACCTGTCACCATGTTGTTCACTGGATAATCCTGAAGTGGACAGTATGCAAGTTTCCCTCCCACTGGTGTTTTTGATACTCTTTTTTCTTTACTGCTGTAGAGAAAAAAAGTGTTATTTTTGCTTCTTTCGTTTACTTTTTAAAGCTTGCTTTCAGGAATGGCTGTGTTATTGGATTCGGCTATTCATGAGAATTTCAAATTTTCCCTTCCCTGCCAATCTATAGTCAAGGCTAAGGGCCTAAATTCCACAGCAAGAACTCCTCATTTCTGAAGAAGTCCAATGTGGCAAGATGGAAATTCTGCAGCAACCTCTGCTAAATTCACAAATGAAGGTTTTTATTGAATTAAATATGGAAATAAATAATACAATGGGTACAGAATCCATTGTCTTATTTATTTTGATATCACGTTCATTTTATTTCAGTCTGGCCTTCCATCTTCAATTTTGTATTGAACATATAACCACAGTGCAGAAGTTGACAGGAGAGGAAGTTGAAGGTTTTGGCAAGTAGGCAGGGCACAGTTGGGAACAAGTGGAATACAGTTTGGGATCCTGGGATAAATACATTAGTTGGATGTTTCTGTTAAAATGATCAACAGCAAAATAATTACGGTTGAGATTTACACTGTAATCATTAGGATTCAGAGTTATCGATCAATTGATATGTTATACCAGGTGTGGCCAAACTGCGGCTGGCGAGCCACATACGGCTCTTTGACAGCTAAAGTGCGGCTTGCGAAGCCCCCCATGCCTCCTCATTCTCCACCTACCAGACTGGGAGGGGGAGCTCAGGGCTTCTACTTTGCGGCGGGGTGGTGGGGCTAGGGGCTTCAGCCCCACAGGAGGTGTCTGCCGCGGCTCAGGGCTTCAGCCCGGCTATTGCTGAAGCCCTGAGCACCGGCAGGCACCTCCCACAGGGCTGATACCCCGAGCCCCACCACTCTGCCACAGGGCAGAAGCCCCAAACAGGTGCACCCGGCTCTCGAACTTCTGAAGATTATTGTATGCGGCTCGGAAGATCAGTAAGTTCGGCCATTATACGCTCATGTGCCTAAACATCAGGACCTAAGCAATCCTAACATGGAAATAAAGAAAATACCTTCCATCCAGGTCTTTTTTGCCCTTTATTCTTTGCTCATCCTCTTTTATGCTAGTGTTTATGTCAACTGGTGTTAATTCATCAAGCTGTGGATGTCAACATACATTTTGATTAAAATTGTGCATGCAGCCCCTTCTCACTTGATAAGGAAGTAAAGGAAAGTTCCTCTGATAACTATCATTTTCAATTTTCTGACACTCCATGATAGGCACTATCAAATGCAAATTTTACAAGAGGGCAATATGCCCCAGTGTGTACGTGCACACACACACACACACACACACACACACACACACACACACACACACACACACACACACACACACAAAACAAACTTTTAAAATCGCACAAACACCAAAATTGAAGTGGGAACAAAACAGTCTAACCTTGCCCTGCAGAGTGGACTGGGGTTCACCTCAAGGGGGAAATAATCACACAGCTGTGTGATTCCTTTACTGTAACTGCCATCTACAGCCCTTACTTCCTATCTAGAATTTACTTTGGGACTGTTATCAAGTCCAGTCCCATTTATCTCAGCTGCAGACATGGGACAGTGCAAGGTCCTTCAGCTGGGCTAAGCTTTTACTACTTAGGATTTTAACACTAAAATCAAACTTTGCAATATAAGGCAGCTTGTGTTGATCATGTTGTCCAGAAATCTTAGCCTCTGGCAGGAGGAGATTCTTGCATAGCAGTAATTTGCCTGGGGAGCAAGAAATCTGAACCCAAATTTTTGGCATAGTAGTACAAAGGACTACCATTAAGCTACCCAACCCAGCCAGCAGTAACCAGAGAAAGCACAAAAGCTTTGTAACCTGCTTCTGTGGGTTGAGTGCTTTATATCATTGATGGCTTTTCTCAATCCATTTAATTATTTTTAAGAATATGGACATTGTTTTGTGGTGATGGTAGTGAATCCCTCTGCAACTCCATTTTCTGCAAGTTCTGAATGGTTGCTTCCTGGACACCAAGCAGTAGAAGGGGTATATACAATAGGCCAAAGGCAGTAGTAGACATCTTGATTATCACAATTCAGTCAAAAAAACCCCCAAAAACATTTGATCCACTGTTTGACTTGAAGCCCTGGGATGAAATCCTGCCTCCACTGAAGTCAGGCAAAGTTTTGCCATTGATTTCAATGGGACAGGATTTCACCCTGATGTGCATTTAGTACAACCTTACCTGTTCCATCAGGGAATCATTCATCTGTTCCCATATAAAACTACCAAGTTTTCTTCTAATTTCTGTAGTGAATAAAAATAAATTAATGTCAAAAGTATTACACAGTGGTATCTCTCCAGCAAAAATCAGTCAGCTAGCAGAGATGATCTTTAACCAAGTGTGAAACAAAACTGTAATGACCACTGATTGGTACCTAGGTCAGGATCTCTAGCAGTGGTTACACAGACTCCTTTGTCCCCGCACAGTAAACGGCAAAACAGGCCTCCCACTCCTGGCTAGACATGCAGAGACTCTGCCCCATGCCAATGCAATCTGTCCCCTCCTTTGGATCAGTCCACCCTGTCCGTGCTCTCTGAGGCTGGTGTGCGGTATGAGCTCAAAATAATGGGTCCTGTCGCATGGGCTCAGCTGTTCTGTCAGGTCCAGGCTGAGCACTTATAAGAGTCCCCTTTTACAAGCAGCTGGCTCCCCTCCAAACAGCTCCCTTTCTCCCATAGCTCAGGGTTCCTGCTCTCTGCTTCTTCCTGTTTCCTGTCTGAATCTTCCCAGGTTGGTCCCTCATCTGCTCATTCACTCAAACCCTCCCGGGGGTCTCTCTTTTTTTTCTTTTTCATGGCAAAGCAGACTTGACTGGCTAGTCCATAGCCATCACCAACTATAATTCCTAAATACCTAGGGATTTATATTCTCCCCTTAATTGATTAGATAACTTCTACATATGGAGGCATCCTTTCTTATTGCCATAAGGCTTGATATCGAGTCTGAAAAAACGACTGCCGCTGCTGGGTGCACACTCCAGATCCAGTTTAACACTAGCATTATCGCCACTAGTTCAGCTGTCATGACAGCTACACAATCGGATATTCTTTTAGACATATTAATTCCTAATTTTGATACACAATATGCCATCCCTATTCTTCCTGTTTTTAGTCTTTTGGACTCCCAAGGGTCAGAGTTAATTCTGTGTCCTTGTTTTGGAGTGGCACTCTGCTCTGCCTGCCAGGTTTGTGAAGAGTAGCAGGGAGGAGAGAAAAAGGGGGGGTTGGAATGGCATTCCCCCCCAACCAATCAGGTTTGTGGAGAGTAGCAGGCGGGGGGCGGGGAGAGAGAGGAGAGAGAAATGGGGAGAAAGGAAGGGAAGAGCTTTTTGCCCAGCCCCACATCAACTGTCAAGATACCGGAAACGGCAGGATCCCAAACTCATAGGTGACTCCAATCCACTCATCTGCTAGGAAACAAACAGCCAAACATATTAGCAAAGCAATACCTGTGTAATGGCACATGCCCTGATTGGGGGCAGCTCATGGAGCAGCAGCATTTGCTCCTCTATGGGCATGATCTCACTCACACTGTCAACCTAGACCTGCACCTAGTAGAGGGGTAAGCACCACGAGCAGCAGTAGATTCAGATCTACCTGCACTGCAGAACTGTGAATGCCTCCAGTCCTGGGACACTCCCTATGCCCCTTCTCCCCCAGTACACCCAGACTGAGGTCACTGTAATTTGACCACGTATGTTCTACATCACCAACAGTCTCGGTTTTAAAACAATGAGTAAACTGTATGCTAAATGCTCTATATTTTTCCTAACCTTCTTGTACACAGGCAGGGGGAAGGATGAAGTGACCCAAAGCCACTGTCTGTTTCATTTCAGAGCTGGCACTTGCATTTGCAGAGAGATAACAAGAATGAAAAATTGTAGCTTTACCCTCTATATAATCTAGGCTCTGGTGTATTCTAGAAGAAAAAAAAACAGAAAAAGCTTTTATAAAAAAGAAATGTGAAAAAAACAAATCATAATTATTTGAATGATCAATTTAACCCTAGAGTGTACCAAGGCTGGACACAGTGACTAATGAGTTTAAAGGGATTGTAAACTCTTTAGTGCAGAGACTGTCTTTTTGTTCTGTTTGTGTACGGTGCCTAGCACAATGGGATCCTAGTCTGCAACTGGGGTTGCTATGCACTATGATAAGTCAAATAATAAATAAGAATAAGAATACTGTCATGCAATTGACCTACTTTAAATTGTTTCAATTGTTGTAAATATTAATATTTCAAAAGTTAATATAAAGCTTTTACAAAAAATAGAGAGCGGGGTGGCCAACCTGAGTCTGCGAAGGAACCAATGTACATTGCCAAAGAGCCACGGTAATACATCAGCAGCCCCCCATTAGGCCCACTCCCAATGCCTCCCACCCACCAGCAGCCCCACCGATCAGCGCCTTCCCCTCTCTCCCCACACCTCCCGATCACCTGTTTTGTGGCATGCAGGAGGCTCTGGGGGGAGGAGCGAGGGCCCGGCAGGCTCAGGGGAGGGTGTGGGAAGGGGTGGAGTGGGAGCAGGGCCTGTGGCAGAGCCAGGGGTTGAGCAATGAGCCCCCCCCCCCAGGCACATTGGAAAGTTGGCGCCTGTAGCTCCAGCCCGGGAGTCGGTGCCTATACAAGGAGCCGCATATTAACTTCTGAAGAGCAGCATGTGACTCTGGAGCCACAGGTTGGCCACCCCGATATAGAGCATGTTTTACATCCAAAATCATTAATTAAATATATAGTGCATAGAAACTGATATTACAGATACATTTTTATTTTGAAACAAACATTATATGAAAAGCATTTTCTCTTTCACTATCTGTCAAGTCCTGACTTCAGGGTTGTGCATTTTTCCTGACAGTTGATGCAAGCGGAACTACATATAACTATGCCAGACAGGTAATAATTGGCATAGTTCTGTCAGAGGGTTACAGTGTTATCAGCTGTTGTGGGGAAAACAAATCCTTAGCTCATAACTTGACTGGTAAATGCCTGCAAAGGTGTAGGGATAGTTATGAAACGACAGAATTAAAGTTAGCTTGAGTTTGGTAAAGAAAATAATATATTTTCTTTATGGTGTGTGGCTAGTAAGGGAAAGGCCCCATTCAGCAAGGGAAAAAAAGGCCACATCAGCCTCACCAACCCACTGAAGCAAGGAGGCGGAGCCCATAGATGAGGTACATATGTATTTTATATACTAAATGGCATGGCTGTGCAAACAGTTAAAGAAATAGTTCAAGCCCTTTGATAAAAGTGAATATCTTTACATTGTTTCAAAGCCACAAAGTATTGACAAAAACCTGCACTTAATGTTTGGTGACCTGTTGGCCAGCACCATGCTCCAAAGCCTTCTGTGGCAGTAGTAGTATCATCATAGTACACAATGGGGTGTTACTTCAGAACTGAAGCCAGTGATGTCATAAAAACTAAGCAGAAAAGGGAAAGTTTTTAGGTAATAACATGTTGGATTCCCGTTATCCTGATTAATAGGAGAAGGTGGTGCATATGGCTAAAGTTAACAGAACATTGACAATTCCCTGTGTGTGTCATCTGTAAAATGTATTTAGCTGACATTTAATCTATACCAGAGGTCCACAGCTCGCCCGCATGCGGACCAATTAGCACACAGCTGTGGCCCAGCTGTGTGCTAAAATAAATTCAAAATGTGCTGCTCTGGTCTGGCCAGGGGTGGGCTGGCTGAGGGGGAGACAGTGTCCAGCAGCCTGCAGGAGCACTCCTGCCAGCAGGGGGCAGGCGATTGCTGCAGGGGGGCAGGATGTAGGAGTGGGGGTCTCTGGGCAGGTTTGTGGGGGGTGGGTAGAGCACACTGGGAACTAGGGGTTTGCAGGGGTGCTGCAACACCCCCAGGTTTTAGATGGGGCTCAGCTCCTGGCCCCATACCTCAGGATCCTGGCTGCCAGCCCACACCAGTTGCTCTGCTCCTGGCCGGGGGTCCCGAATGCCTAGCCCCACTTGGCAGGGTCCCTGGGTCCAGGTTGCAGGGTCCAGTTGCTGGCCGCACATGGTGGGTCCACGGGTCCAGCTGCCGTGCCCAGGGTTGCGCTCCTGGCCCCGCTCTGTGGAAGGGTCTCTGGGTGGGGGGCGCTGGGCATAGGGGACTGTAGGGAGTTTTTGGACGGGTGGCACTGTGGTTCTCAACCTGCAGGCCATAATGATAAATAGGTTGAGAACCACTGATCTGTACAAATATTCACTTCATGATTGAGGATCTTTTACAGTCTTTTCTTCATTTTAAGCTTTGCAGCTCTCCTTCAAAAAAAACCCACTGTCAAGCCCTCTTTTGTTTTCTGTATTTCCTTTCCTTTCTTTTGTTTGTAATAACTTCGCAGACTGAAAGTAAAATTTCTTTCCCTAGCGATTTGGCTGTTTTCCATTTGGCAAGTATTGATTTTTTTTTCTCCCACCTTGCTTATAAAGACTGAATTTTCAATGTCTCTTGTTTTGATTACGTTCTTATACCTCAGTGAAGAAGTCAGCAACATTCTGGGATTTGAGGTTGCTAGCTAACTGCTACAAAACCAGCTGAAAACATTTCATTTAACTGTAGAATTAACGCTGGTTTGGAAAACTAAACTACTTTCCTTTTTTGCGTTTAAGTTTTTATTAACAAAGGCCAGGTCTACACACACATTTTGTATCAGCATAACTATTTTGATTAGGGGAGTGATATATATTTTTAAACCAAAATAGCAATACAAGTACAACCCCTACTATGAATGCAGTTATACTGATATATAGGTGCCTTCCACTGGTATAGCTTTTTCCCCTTACCTTACAGGAATAAGCTATGCAGTATAAGCACCTTTAAGTTGTGTCACTTTAGCTGTACTAGTTAAAGCTGTACAACTTTTGCATATAGGGAAGGCCGAAGTGGTTTGCTATGAGACTTATATATCTTGTCCAAGACATCTTACCTACAGTTTATTGTGGTTGTGATTTTCAGAAATGCTCAGCATTAGCCTAACACTGCCCCCTTTGAAGTAATTCAATGGGAATAGAGTTGGGCACTTTTAAAAATTCCATCTGTGTTTTTAACTTACTGCCATTAAATATTGAGATGGTTATTTAACACAATCATTAATGTTAATAATGTTTGTATTGCATTATGTTTTGTATATAATTAATTGCGCAGCTGAAAAACTCAAAAGGTTAGATGTATACAATATATAATATATACACTCAGAGCTCTAACAGAGGCAGGATGCACAATATTTCCAAAACTATGGTAAGGGAATTCTCATAATCCATAACAAAAACAGGAAAAGGAAGGAGAATTTTGTTAGCTGAAGGCACTTTTAGAGAAGCAGGGGAGGGGTGATTAGGGTCAGGGCATATCCACAAACACTCCATAGATGAGAACACAGCCAAACAGCTACAAGAGTCAAACCTACAAAGTGTACCTCTGTGTATCAGGGTGTGAAGCATCACTGCTGAACAGGTAATCAGCACCATGATGAGTTGAAATCACTCCTCCTTCAGCCACTGCAAAAAACAGAGCGCATATGGCACTCTTGGTTTAGGATTATTACCCCCAGTATATTCAGAACACCTTCATATTTGTGGAGGTCAATGTCTCCAGTCCTAAGGAACAAAATATGAACTTCTGCTTTTTACCTGACAGTTCAAATCTAAAAATCTATGACTGGGGTGAAGGCCAGAGGGATTGTTATTATCATCTAGTCTGACCTCCTGCATAACACAGGCCAGAGAACTTCACCCAATAATTCCTGCATCAATCCTGCTCAGCCTAATGCAATCCTACTACAATTTATCTTCTCTATTGTTCGGCCATTTGAAATGTTTAGAAAATCTCCAAAATGCAATATTTTGAGTTCTCAAACTATTTAAAAAATGTATTTGGAGACCTTCAAGGCCTAAGGACCAAGGCATATTTTCCTAACCCATCACTTTCTTATTCTGTGGCACATAAAAGAGTTCATTCAGTACTTGGGAATTTATACACATTGTAACTGCCCTGATCAATCATTCTCCCTTGACAACAATCTTGCATTCATTCCCTGTTCTACTTCCCCAATGGCTCACACTGGAACTCACAAGAGTAAAAGAGCCCCTGCCAAGTGAAGTTTACAATAAGGCTGTTTCCGGTGTACTTGGAGAGCAGGAGTTTGGTTCACAGTCTGAATGAGCCCTCCTCAGGGCAGAAATGGAAGGCACAAGGAAAGGTGACTTGCAGACACATTTCCCCCTCCCTATTTTAGAGCTGGCCAGCAACCTGCTCTAACTTTGGGCTTGTCCACACAAACACTTAGATCCAGGGCTTTGGAGCTGTGCTCCGGCTCCGCTCCAGCTCCAGGCAAAAACCTGCAGTTCCACTGCTTCGGAGCTGCTCCGCGCTCCAGCTCCGGGCTCCGCTCCAAAGCCCTGCTTTGATCACAGCAAGCACTAGCCTGCCACACACTAAGTGTCCATGTGGACTCCGCTGCTGTGCACTAAAAGTTCCATATTGCACTTTGACCTACCCCACTTTGAAACAAGAGATTAAAATCTATGAATTAAGGCCAGAAGGGACCATTGTTTGCTCTCTTGTATAACACAGGCTGCAGAACTTCCCCAAAATAATTCCTAGTTCACTCTTTTACAAAAACATCCAATTTTGATTTAAAAGTTGCCAGGTACGAAGAATTCACCATGATCCTTGGCACATTGTTCCAATGGTTAATTACCCTCACTGTTAAGAACGTGTGTCTTATTTCCAGTCTGAATTTGCCCAGCTTCAACTTCAGGCCACTAAATCGCATTATAACTGTCAAGGCTGATTCCCCACTCTGGCACTTCGAGTGCAGAAGGTGGGGGCCCACAAGGATTCTAAAAATTAATACTGGCCACTCCAGGCTTGTATTAAACTCCCAAGGTCACAGATTTTCTCTGACCTTGGGTGGGTAGATTCTGCCACCACCCAAGTGCAAAAACCCCTTTGAAAACCCAGGAAGAACTTGGGAATTTCTCCCTGTAGGGTACCCTCAAGCCCTTTCACTCCCCCGGGGAAGAGTTGAGAAAGAAAACAAAGGAAATCAGCTGTTGCCACCAGCGAATTAAACAACATTTGCACAAACCTCTTAGGATACAAAAATCCAATCCTGTTCTTAAAAAAGGTAAATTTTATTAAACAAAAAGAAAGAAAATACATCTGAAAACTTAGGCTATTGCTAGATTTAAAAGAGCAAATACAATAATTAAGCATCAAGAATGGTTTTCTTGAGGTGCAGCTTAAAGGTTACAAGCAAAACAAAAGCATTTGGGGTTAGCACAGAATTCATAAGCCATAAAGAAATAAACAGGGATAAACCTAATCACATCTTCCTAGACATTTCCTGGTCTACTTACATATCTGGGGTTTAAAATGAGTAGTTTCTAGGTATGATCTGATGACCCCCCGCCCCCTGCCCTTCATTTATCACAATAACTTTCTCAGCTAGATTAAATATTTAATAAACCAATCTTTTCAATATTTGTTCCCCATGGAGGTACTTAGACTGTAATCAAGTTATGCCTTAGCCTCTTTGTTAAGCTAAATTGATTGAGCTCCTTGAGTCTATCACTATAAGCCACGTATTCCAATCCTTTAATTGTTCTCTTGGCTCTTCTCTGAACCCTCTTCGATTTATCAATATCCTTCTTGAACTGTGGAATCCAGAACTGGACACAGTATTTCAGCAGTGATTTCACAGTGCCAAGTAAGAGGTAAAATAACCTCTGTACTACTGCAAATTCCCCAATTGATACATCCAAGGACTGCATTAGCCTTTTGGCCACAGCATCACACTGGAAATTCATGTTCAGCTGATTATCATTATCCATCACAACCTCCCAATCTTTTTCACAGTCACTTCTTCCCAAGATAGAATCCCCCATTCTGTAAGTAGGGCCTCCATTCTTTGTTCCTAGAGGTGTATGTGCCAAATATTGCAATCCCATGCAGTATCTTTGGGGACCATTGTATTCAATTTATGAATTGTTTATGTATGATTGTGTTCTAGTCCATGGGGAAGGGTTACCACAGCTCATCCAGAAACTAAAAACAGTGGAAGGTGATTACCCTGGGAATTGTAAACAACTCCAGAGAAGCATCACCCCCAGGGGTATTTGCAAATACTGCTTCAAACTGTGTATTCCAGAGATTTAAAGAAGAGGCTTTTGGTATAAAAACCTGATCCAGCAAATGGACAGGACCTTCTGGCCCGGGAAGCGGGGGCCACCCTTGTGGGCTGGAAAGACTTTGGCCTACTAGGGCCCCATAAGACTGATGGGTGATAAGCTTTTAGCATGTACATTTATTATTTTATATGTTTTTTCTGTAATGCTTTTACCTTAAGAATAAAGATGCTTGCTTAGAAAGAGCTGTGTGTTAATTGTAAATGCTGGCAATACACTCACTGTTCATCGCCCTCTGAGAGAAACCAACAAACAGATGCTGGCTGTTAGACAGACTGACTTGCTGGGGATGTCACAGTGTAAGGCAGCTGTGCAGCTTTAAAATCCCAATCAGAAAGGAGTGGGACAAGGGTCTCTAGCCAGAGACAGGTAATGACTAGAGACCTGTCTGGTCACTCCTGGAATGGACTATGGGGATAGGGGGGAATACAGGAAAGGTTACCCTGAAACTGTGACAGTATACATTTACATGGAGCTGTATTAAAATGCATATTGTTTGCCTGTGCCCAGCTTACCAAGTGATCCAGATTGCTCTTTATCAGTGACCTGTCCTCTTCCTTATTCACCACTCCCTCACGTTGTTTCATTTGCAAACTTTATCAATGAGGATTTTGTTTTCTTCCTCGTCATTGATGTGACGTTGTGCAGTCTATATGGTTTTATAAAAACTTGATAATAAG